TGAATATCACACGTTGCCAATCACGAATCTGCCATCGCCGAACTCTCCTGGACCATGTCAATCGACGACGTCGGTGTTGAAGTGTCATGTGCACTCCTCGGTAGGGGCGACGTGCTCGGATACCACGTTCCCTCAGTCGCCGGTACACTGTGTGTCGACTGATACGATGCCCCAATGCCGCCGATGCCGTTGCTGCATCAATTTTGTTACAGTTTTTCTGGAGCAGCCGAAGGTACTTGCGATCAAGGTGATGTTTCCTCCATGTTGCGCCATTCCCACAGCTCTTTCTCGTTCAATCCGGCTCAAACGTGGCATACTTTTTGTGTTTTTCTTTATCCTCTGTTGCTAACTTGTCCAGTAAACTGATTTATACCCCCATCATGCACGTGCAGAATTTGTCGCTTTTTATTTTTAGCGTCGTTCACTTTTTTCATCATTTTTTCATGTCAAATTTTGTGTTGACCGTGTGTGAGATGTATTACAGTGGTTTAATCACTTTATTTTAATTTTTGTTAATCGTACTGTAAATTATATAGGTGGGTACTTTCTTTTGAGCATTAGTTTACTTGCAATTGTAATGATTTCTTTTTCGTCTTTCGCTTCAAACACCTTTCACTAACACCTATAGTAATCAGCAAGACTTTAATTACAGCAATATGGATGATGCCGACGTACGCAGCTTATGGAGGATGGCCATCGTCTGGTGAAATAGATATTATGGAGAGCAGGGGTAATAGTTTCATTCTGTTCATTTGCGTTTAGATTCTGGGAGAGGCCTCGTATGTTACAGGCCACAAACGTAACATGACCATTAAGTTCCACACAAATTTAAAAGTAGGCTGATAACGCTGTCCTGGTTAATTTTCTCCCATTGCACACTGTTGTCCTTTGAAGAAAAACATCTATCTCATGGCAATATTCTGTATATAGGTAATCTGAACTATACAACGGCTGACGGAGAACCAATCGGTGTGGACCACGTTGGAAGCACGTTACATTTTGGATCCAATTATTTTTACAATGGTTTTATGAAGACTACAGTAGCAAAGTAAGTTTGTCCTAGTGGTAACAGTATCGAATGTATGACACCATAAACAAAATATATCGAGTTGAGAGCCCCGGGCTCCATTTCACACAAATAAAAAAAATTTCCAAAAGAATTCGTCGACGAGGTGGCATTTGATCAAATTTGGGTTATGTTTTTTTTCCTGAGAAGAACGGGGCCCTGTTTTTTTATCCTGGCGGGTTGTTTTACAAAAATAGTGTTGCAAAGATGAAGACCTACAGCTTTACTGATAGTGTTCTGGCTTGTACAAGAACCATTATACAGGACACTTATGCAGGTACTCTTAGATATTCAAATGACTATTTCTTTATTCATTAATGTAGACGTCTAAAGGATGGAAGAACATTTGCTGATGATTATCATAGATACAGTGTCGAGTGGACTGAAGATTATATCAAGTAAGTCGAAACCGAACAGTCATTGGGACAATCTGAGAACAATGAGAGTAATGAAAAAGATATTGTTAAAAAAAATTGTTTCACCATTTGCCTAACATTGGACTCATTGGCGTATTTAGGTTCATCATGAAGATAACTCCATGTAGAGTGTAATGATAGCGATATTTTTCTTTATCCTTTTCGATTTGCCCCATCGAAGGGTCTTTAACGTAAACAGTCGTAAACTGGACCAATTTAGATTAAACATGCTGTGAATATTTTATTATAGATGCTTCGTCGACGATGAAATGACTTTAAATGTTGAGCCTGATGAGGGTGGCTTTTGGAAATTCGGAGAATTTGAGAAAAACAACATGGTTAATCCCTGGAGATACGCGTCTAAAATGGCACCATTTGACCAAGAGGTACAGTCATATTGTTTTTGTCCGACCGATTACATGTATTTAGGTCTTTATCCAGTGACATGTCAGTAGGAGTTCAGCGCTGACATCCCCCAACCCGCAGAAAAATAGTTCATATCCCAAGAATTTTTAAAAGATTGTACCAGACAAAATTCTATCTTTAGAAGCACAGGCTGCCACAGCGCTTGTTGCCCCTATAGTAATGTTGTTCTGCTATTTAGTCAGTCTGCCTCTTGTTTGTACCAAGTTTCAGGATGCTGACGCCGCCTCTGACACAGTTATCTTCCGGCCGCGTATTCTTAAAACGATCTCAGCACTAGGATGTCTTAGTGTCTTAACTTCTAACACTGTTTCTGGAACATCCTAAGACTAAGATAGTTTTGAGAATACGTGGCCAGCTTTTTGAAAACGGAGGCACCATTATATTAGTAATACATTTTCATGCATGTTTCTAGTTCTACATCATCCTGAATCTAGCTGTTGGTGGTATGAACTATTTTGATGATTCTAATATTGGACCTCGACCAAAACCCTGGACCGGAGCTGATAAGACGGCTTTCTGGAGAGCTAAAGAAGAATGGTATCCTACCTGGAATCCCTTTGAAAATGACGGGGAAGATGCTGCATTGAAGATTAACTATGTAAAAGTTTGGAAGTTGAAACCATAATTTGATTTGAATAAATAACCCATCCTTTGATGAAATCCATCAAACGAAACGATTGATCTTTTATAATTTTTAATATGTTGAACAATTTACAGTATCATTTTAATATATAATTTTAAAAAAACGAGTTCTCATCCAGGCTATACTCACCCATCAGAAATCTTAGAGTAATCTATACAGTGAAACCTGACTAAGTTGATTTCCTATCAGTAAGGTATTATTGTTCACCATATTAACAGAACTAGCTATAATATTCTGTAGATGACCCAAGAAACCACCGTCCAATCCATATTTCACTATTCTCTTTTTATACATGTCAGCTACATACTGGTCTCCGTTGGCATTCACGACAACACTGGTAGGGGAGGAAAGTGGAAACCATGACGATTCTTTCTGGAAAACGACCTTCCCATCCAGATTTATACCGATATACCGCCGAGTTTCGGAGTTGGTGAAGAGAAGCAGACGTGAAACGGGGTTAAAGGTCAGCCACGAAAATCCTTTTCCATTATATGTTAGATTGGTGATTGGAAATTCATTAAGTAAATACCAAGATTTGTCGTAGAAGCGGATACTCTCCGCACAGGCAATAGCTATCTTATCTTCGACCTCTGTCAACCCATACGGACACTTCCCGCCAATATTAATCTCACGCAGTAAACTGATTTGTGGAACTAGACGCAGCACAAATATCTTTTGTCTCCTTGGACTCCCTATAATCACATCTTTACCTCGACTCAATCGAGCCAATCCCTGAATCGAAGAAGGAGTCTGGAATTTTCCCAACATTGTTCCGTTTATATGATAGTATACCAGAAATTTAGTTCTTTTGATCCTGGCCAAATAGGATTCCTCATCAATAACAATCAGATCTCGTACTGTACAGAATTTCTTTTGGAAGCTACTACAAACGTCCACTTGGGAAATCTGTTGTGCAAGTAATGGCTTTCTTTGTCGATTTTGTTGAACTAAATAACTGTATATTTTATTTCTGGGTCCACGAGGGTCGTTGGATTGAATATCATTCTGAAGATTAAGATGTGAGACGAGATGAAGGATCGGGTTCTTCTCTGATTTGGCAATTCTGTCTAGAGACATCTGAATCCGCCGAGCTTCCCTTTCCATAAAATGCTTTATCAAGGCGATCCGTCTCTTCAGGTACTTGATCTGCTGCTTAACTGTGTGCACTGTTTCACTTCCTCCTTGCTCGGTTGACATTTTTGAAGCTATTCCCTGCATTTCCTTAGAACACTGAGTTACATGGCTCCCAAATGACACTAAATCTTGAATGACACTGGAATCGTTGTGATAGGTACACGGACAGAACTGGTCTGTGGGTTCTTTCTGGAACATTGTTAACTTCATTCTCGTGTTTGAGACTTTGCTCCGAATTCTCTCAAATAAAGGCATCGAATAATTATATCGTAAAGTCTTTAATTCCTCGTCGAGCTCGAGGGAAAAACTTCCTTTAAGCAGCAAAATCCACAAACTGATATATCCAGAAATTCGCATATTGAGAGTAACCATTTTCAGGTCAAGACGAATTCTCCAAAATTCCAGTTGCTCCGCTTGATTTTTCAATAGTCTCAACCGGTTCCACGTATGAAATGTGTATATTCTGCCTTTGTAAACGGAATACCCAGATAGTTCGTGTAAGTTAACTGGTATGAAATTGGAACCAATAAGATCTGATAACAGCCCGACAAAAATGAATTGATATACTTGTATAATTTGTAATCTAAATTGAAACTTTGATAAAAACGGTGTTAAATTTCGTCAAATTTCAAATTAAAGTTTATCAAAGGAATAACCATTTAGCCAGAGACTTGTGCTTAACGGTGGGGGCAAAAATGTTCAAGTAGACCATTTTCTTCAGAAGTAAAATGTAGTCTTATCAATTTTTTTTTGTAAAAATAGAATTAAGTTTAAAATTTCCAAAGAAGAAGTGTCGACTTCAAAGACAAAAGCCATGTATAGAACTCCATGGTGACTCTCTTACTCAAGGAATCAAGTTAAACACGAAGTAATGAAAGATAGTCATCTTTCTGAATATTCATCTCAACACAATAACCGCAATTTCATATCGTCCTGTGCATCGTTGTTTGAACAACACCTCCTTATCAATAAATAATTGTATGCTTTCGAAATTTTCAAAATTATCACCATAATTATGGGTCAAAGACAAATAAAATATATAATATTTTGATCAATAACAAAATTTATTTAAAATAATATAACAAATAAAACTCAATTCATTGGATGAAGGCGAACAGGATAAAGCATAGATTTGATGTAGAATATAATTTCGATGCTTTCGACCAAAAAATGCAGTTATAAAATAAATGAATGGTCAGGTAAATCTTTAAGATGAAATGAATGTGATATTGTTGAGCACCATAATATCAGATAAATAAAACTTTCATTGACTTGTGTCATTCTTTTGATTTGAACTCTGAAACAAATTAATCTACATATATTGAACAGTAATTTAAAAAAAAGAAATCAGCTCTGCTCTTGCGTCCAAGAAGTCATTGATTATCAGTTCCTCAGTCAAGATTTTGTTTTTGTCATCTGTTGGACTGTTTCCAATGTTTGACTGAAGCAATTGCTATTTTTGGTGTGACCTTATCTTGCTAATTGTCATATATCCTACGTGATATATATCGTATAATTGCGAATATAATGCGCAATCTTTCTTACCCTCCAATAAATTTGAAAAATCTCTCACCATAAATAATAAAACTGCGCATTATACACGCAATCATACGGTATCAGAACAGTCTATGACACAAACACTAATAAGTGATGTAATATAACAATTAACGGCATCAGATTATGTTGCATTGGGTATCAGTATATAATATGATTTACTTTTTAACAAACTTTTGAAAAGGGTTAAGTGTAACTCACCAAATGTGAAGGTGAAGAAGGTAGGGTACAATTTTCCAATGTTTCTATTAACTGTTTAGACTCTGTTAATAGTCTCTGTAATTTACCTCCAGGTGATGCTGGTTCTTCCTGGAAGAAAAAGGACATTGTACTTTGGACATTGTATATTGGAGTACAAGATCTGAACAGTGTTACGTTATTTCTAAATGCAAGAAAAGCTGAATAGGTTAAGTTTGCTTTAGCTACATATGCTAAAAGGGAGACATGCCTGTCTTGTGTCACACCTGCCATTATCATTGTTGAGCTCTGACTATCTACTTTAAGACAGCAATTAGACTACCTTATGTCAGCACTTTGGAATTGTGGTTTAGATGAATTTTAACTGTTTTCTCCTGGTGATAAGATATCAAATCTAAGAGGTTGTGTATGGTATACTAACCTGATTACTATCTGTAGGTCTCTCAGTATCACTAGTACTATTATTAACATTAGTAGATTGACCATCTCTAGTAATACTGGTATTTAAAAATCGTGACAACCGATCATCAAATGCAACTGTCTGTCTGTGACTGACTATAGTACTATCATATGATATATCTAACTCTGGTATATTTGGGTCCACTGAACTGAAACATTTATATCAGTATACAATCATGAAATAAATAGTGACTCTAGCGCTAGTGCTAGTTCTTAGCCCGAGGCGGATTAATACTTTGACAAAGAAATTGTATTTTATAAACCTCGACTATTTATATGATTTTTTTGCTGAGATGTTAAAAATCTCCAGCATGTTGGAATTATCAGACTAGTTAAAGTTAAAGATATGCCTCACGAAATGTACATTTAAGATTCTTTCTACATCAAAGAGAAAAGTTCTATAATTGCACACTGCACAGCATTTCCTGTCATTGCTAGCCCTATCAAATGCATAAGAGTTAGTCATAGAATTTCAAATCAGTTTTATTTCATTGGTCATTTCAATTATTATGAAATTCAGTGTGCATTAATGAAAATCGATCAATTTTATATACTGTATATTTGTGTTTATAATGCACAGTTTTTTAACCTTAATGTTATAATCTTACCTATCATACTGTTGACTATTAACAATGTTGGCTGACTGTTCTATCATCTGAGAGGTATCTAAATTCATTTGTAACATAGTTAACTCCCTTTGTTGCCGCTCATATAACTACAATATAACAATAATATTTATTTATTCATTCACTCACGCTTCACTACCAAGTGTAGAGTTTCATGTTTCAAGTTTCCCGAAAAAACATGCATCAAAGGCAACATAAGTAAATCTATCAAAATCATAGGCACTAACCTCTCTGACACTTCTTAATTCAGCAGCTCTTCTTTCTTCTTTTGATTTTAATGATGTGATTAGTTCATCTTTACTTTTCTCTCGCTCATCTGANATGATAACATATATCACATATCTGAATAAGATATCTGAATAAGACATCTGAACAAGAAAGCTCACAAAATACAGAGTAGTATGTAGTATGTACCCCAAACACTTATTGGCAGTTGAATAGCTTAGTTGGTAGAGAGTTGGATTTTCTATGCTGGATGTGATGTGGTTTTAAATCTTCCTAAAATTACTGATGCCACTGATACTGTATTTGGGAGAGTCAGCGTTCACCCCTAAAACCTTAATGACTAATTTAACAAGCCCCTAATTCCCTCATTTGCCCTCAAAAGATGAGAGTATACTTACTGCTGGCAATTAAAGCTTCCTGTAAAGCTATCATGTGTTGTTGAGCTTCGTTTATTTGAGCTATCTGTTGTGTTAACACTTCATCTCTCTCTTCAACATCAACTGTTGGTAACAAATAACAGTTTAGTGTTCAAAGGGTTAAGACTTTTTCAGTGTTAGAGATCTTGTGGTCAAATTTGCACTCCTCAATTTCCCTAGCATGTAACTTACTCTTTTTTCATCCTTTATGAAACTATCACAAGCATCATGTAAAGCACATGTTGTCCAGGCCACATATTCTTGAAATGATCTTAGCAGTGGGATGTCCTAGAATCAATGTTAGAGGATAAGAACTTAGGACATCCTAGCTCTAAGATCGTTTTGAGAATATGTGGCCAGATCTTTTGTCTGATTAAAAGGACCGAAAGTTTTGTTAGGTGGAGTCAAGGGGGGTTAAAAGTCTGCCCTTTCTTTGTCAGTCCCTTGAGTCCTAGTTCACTTAGGAGATTGGGGTTGAGATACCATGTTTGAATTGGTGATCTATGCCAATAATTCCAAAGAAAATTCTATCAATCATGTATTAAGGGTTCTATTTCTCAATGTAAATTCCATTCTTATGGTAATTTTTATTTTAAGATATTTTTGTGAAGCTAGTCAGCATTCAGGCAACTCTTTAAGCCATTGTGGCTTTTTAATTTGAGATCAGTAATAAGAATCACATCATTTACTTCTTCTGATTATGTGTTCATTCCCACCCTATATTTGTGACCTCTGCCAGTGCTTTTAAGAGAAGTTTATATGAACTTCTTCACTGTTGATACAACTTTCATAACTTACCATTTAATTTCTCTATTTCACACAATGATTTGTGGTATTTTTCCTGCCAATGACTAGACTGTCCAAACGCATCTCTCTCTCTAGTATGACAATCTGTGTTACGTTTTTCAAGTTGTTTATAATTTGTTATTAGATCTCCATATTGTTGTTTTAAATCTTTAATTTCATGGTCCTAAAAATAGATACATGTATAATACTTAAATAATCACCACTACTACAGGAAAATTCATGTTTAAAAATTTAATTTACCAGATGAAATACTTCAATTTCAACTACCCAGATCTCTTTCAATATTGAAAGCTGATGTTCCATTCTCCAGCAATTCAACATTCTCTACAGTAGAAAGGTCAAATATGGTCACATTCTCTCTGTTTTTAACATTTTCATGAAGAGTTATGTCCCAGTGAAAGGGTCTGTCATTCTAGGCAATTGTATCTGAGGAACTGAAGAAGAAATTCAAACCTTTAACTTTAATAATGTGACCATTTCCTGTTCTCTGGCTGCTAATTCACCCACTGTACTTGATGCTTCTTTTAATGAATCATTTAAACTCTTATTACGATCCTTAAATAGAATTAATTCTCTAGTAAATCTTGCAAAGTTTAATTCTCTTATCATAAGGCAAGAAAAAAGTTTGGAAAATAAAATAAGTCTGGTGCCTTCTGACAGATCATATTTTGAAATTGGAAAGTGAGAGTTCAATTCTGGGTACAGGTAACTTTTTTTTTTAGGTATTACCATTGAAGGCTTAATTCCTGTAAAAAAAAATATATTTTGAGACATTTAGACAATCCTACCTCTAAACTAATAAGTAAGCTAGTCTGTGAATCTTTATCATGAATCAACTGTGTTAATTTAACCTTATTAGATTCTAATTGTGTTGAACAGGTCTTCTCTAGATCCTCTAATCTACTAGTAGCTTTCTCTAACAATACACTTCTGGTTATTAGATCATCTACAATGATACATGTATACATCAGATGAAATTTATACTTTTCAATTTATACAATTCCTGTATCATTCTGCACCAATCAAACAAAAGTTCTTTTTCTAACCCTTTTAAGTTTAACCAACTTGGAGAAATCAAAGCTGAAATTTAAAATTACGAAGATGAAGTTGCAGCAATGGTGGGCCACTCATATATATTACTCATCATCGCTTAAACCATGCACCCTTCAATAGATGGGACGGTGGTATTTATCTAATAGCTTTGTATGAGGCATTGAATTTTAACCAATCCAAACAACTTTTTTCATACAAGAGGGGTTGACTGTTATGTGTGTGCTGGTATTTACACCACATAGCCCTGTACTTACTCTTATATTTTCTACATTTCTGTTCTAAGATGACTATTTTCTTTCTGTCTGCTTGCCAGGATATTAATTGATGTTGATGAGCAGAAACCATTTCATTCAATTCCTGGTCTCGATCTTTTAACTCATTCATCAATAACTTTATTTCTTCTCTCTGTTTATGAATGGTGGATGTTTCTAATGAACTTTGACCTGGACTTGTTGGCTAAAAAACAGAAACATGTTGTTTATATGTATAACAATTTAATACCATAAGGTTAGGCCAAGGACCAGCTGGTAGACGGTAAGTTTTTGAAGTTGTTAAATCAACTTAAATCAATGCCAGGAGGGTTTGGTCCAGGAGTAGCAGGTAGACAGGATCCTTAAGAACCCAAGTTGTTATTTGAATAAAATCATTGCCAAGAGATTTGGTACAGGACCAGCTGAAACTATTCTCATTAAAGCTGTTTTTTCCATCCAAAGATGTTGGATTTAATAAGTCTTCTTCAGTTTGATTTTAAATAAAGCAGTGGAGATACTGACTTGCATCACTGACAAAGAGAGCTGTTGCTGAAAAATTACAAGCACATTCATTGAACCACAACATCCCAAGATAAGCAATAATATAATGTACAGTTTACTCAACCAATAAAACAGTAATAAAAGTTAACTTACCAGCACTGTTAATAGACTAGTATCTGGTTTATCTTTTACAGGAGTAGACAATACTGAGGTGTTATGGTTATAGGATGGTTGTTGGGATAACGTTCCTGATTGAACATGTGATCTCAATGTACTATGCTGAGAAGGCTGAAAAAGTTGTTGAACTGGTACTCTGGACGACTTAGTCAATGACTGGTTATATGTATAGGATCCATGATGGGTATTCTGAGTTTTTGTCCTAGAGGGTGAATTGGGCGCTTTAAAAGATGGTTGTGACAAAGATTGGTCTTGTGTATAAGATCCATTTTTTGTTTCAGAATATGTTGCTCTTTCAGAAGAGCTTTTCAATGCTTGGTTCTTTGGAGACCTTTGATGAACTGATGATCCCTGCTGAGTTTTGGTTCTTGTTGGTGAATTTGGTGCTCTGTGAGACATTGACAATGATGGGTCCTGTGTATAAGACCCATGGTGATCATTCCGAGTTTTGGTCCTGGTTGGTGAACTTGGGGCCCTGCCACTAGAGTTCAATAAACCTCTTTTCTTTTTGCTGTCATTCTTTTCATTTGTCTTCTTGTTGCTCTGCAAAAATAAATGATAATGACAACTTTTGGAGGATTTTTAGTGAAATGAAATGAAATGGAGCCTTACTATCCTGGCCATGTACTCTCGAAAAAATCTCAGCGCTAGGATGTCCTAGAATCAATGTTAAAAACCTAGGACATCCTAGCGCTAAGATTGTTTCGAGAATACATGGCCTGTTCTTTATTTGGCTAGTGAAGACTAGAAACATCTTATATAATCTAGGAAGATTTGGGAAGATAATAATTAAAGCTTTTTCCGTCTTCATATCCCTTTGTTAACAAGAACATGCGTAGCCAGTAGCACACACAGTTTATTGTCCCATTGTTCCTAAAGCAACAGTACGATTATTCATATCTAACTAAATGATCATTATCATGTAATGTTCCTTAAGGAACATGTTGTCTCATAAGCGTATCAACAATAAGAGGCTTTTTCCAGTTCTGCATGCTCTTAATCCTTACCTTTATTGGAGTGCTGTGTTTTGGGTATTTTTCATTAGAATCACTTGATTCACTATCAAGCACATGAATTTCTAAAAAAAAAACAGAAGAGAATAATTATAGCTGCATAGGCTACTGATGTCCAGGGAGCTGTTTTACTGAAGAACATAAGAGTTTAATATTTTTCTTAAAAATGTCAGTGATTTCTTTTTTATTCATGTTTCTTGTTGCAACAGTATGAAAAAAAAACACAAACCTGAAACATCCACTGTTTGTATCATGATAGCTATACATAATACAAAACACCACTTTTCACAAATTTTCCAGAGCTTTGTAAATCTTTCAACTTGATGGAGTTGTATCAAAACACAGCTAAAGGCAGTAACAATTTATCCAAGTCAAATTTAAAATTTTCTTTTCTACAATAATGATTATGTAGTCACGTTTTTAAATGTGAAAAAGATGAGTTTGGACAAGCTTTTTCATCAGATGTCAAATTTTGCTAAAACAAAAGTAGGTCAACTTCGCTTCAGCTCTATGTTTAAAGTTCAGATGTATGACAATTGTATGTGAAAACGCCAGTCTCATTCCATACAAAAGCTTTTCTTAAACAGAATCTGCACGATGTGATTAAAATTTGGAAGTTTTTAAAGACTACAATTAATTCTAAATACCTCTGCAAAATTGAAAATATTTTTGTAATCTTGTTGTCAGATGTAAACTTCCGGTTGATGGTCTGTTTCGGTTATCGAGTCGGAAAACTCTTTGAAAAACAAAACGCCATATTCTGACTGGATAACGGCGCTACTCCAGACTACAGTAAACTTATCAAGAGTTACATACCTTTTGTCTCTTGTTAATATTACCTCTATGCACTGGTTTTATCTCAGATTTATTGGAGATTTTCAGAAACTCCAAGAATAATGTCGTTTTTATACTTAAATTAAAGTGAACAGTTAACATTTTAGCGATTAGGCTATTATGCTCCCCCCCCCCCCCACCTCAAAAACAAAATGATTATTTTAAGATCTCTTTTTTGTTTGTTAAAAATGATTGATATTTTCTAGTTCAATACTAATCATATTGGCTATTCATTAAATCATCTTTCATTATGAATATATGCATGTAGCGTATATTGATATTCAAATATTTGACGCAAATATAGGCCTATAATTAAGTTTACATATGTTTGAAATAGATCTTGATTTTATCATTTCAAATTTTTAAAGTAAAAACGGGGGATTTAAATTCAAACTTAAAGGGCGGAGTTATTAAGTCTCTCCCACAGGAAACTAAACTACTGTATAAAATAATACCAGTACACATGTTTTAGATTTTTTCTGACTAAAAACGTTTTTCTATCATTTTCTTATTCTATACTTAGATCACACAATTGTTACTAAAAATAAATTGTATATTCGACCAATCAGAAATCTATTCTAAATTTATACTTATACTGTGGTCCTATAAATAATACAAAACTACAGAAAACTAATAAATAACACTTATTATAATAATAATACTATTATACTGCTGTAAGTTATTCGTTTGACCAAATCCCAATAAGAGATTATATTAGGATATTAGCCCATGGACTTAAAATGTTTCTGTGTTGTTTAAATTCGGAAGGTGAGCATATGTTGAATTACTAAAATATAGTTTTTATTTGCATGTACATGGAAGATCCATCAGATGGTTCCTTTAATTTCAGATAATGACGCCTCTATGACATTAGCAACATACAAGTCCATGTGTTTTTTAAAAATGTATTGTATGTGAAACGGATGCACTGACTGTATCAATTTGTACCATTCAAATATTCAGTCAGACGTTTGTGGTTCTTACAGTTCCACTAAAACTAAGCAATTTATAACATCACTATCGCAAATGCCTTGAAAAAGTAATAAGTTTAAGATTTTGAATTCAATATTAGCTATAATAAATTATATACAAGTCTAACTATAATTCCTATTCTATTGCAGAAGATACGAACTATAGGCCTGCGGTTCGTAAGAAGCTGGTAGTGGTAGGAGATGGGGAATGTGGTAAAACTTGTTTATTACACCGATATACACACAATCAGTTTCTACCTGAAATGTACATACCTACAGTATTTGATACCTGTGTTCATGAGACAACTTACAACGATAAACAGGTAAGTAAAGAGCTACAGCTAAAGTAACCTGCTGGAACTGGGAGCACAGTTGGGGGCAGACTAAGTGGCGGTCTTAGTAAGTCATTTTTGGGCGATGCCCCCCTCCGGCAATAAAAAAAGTTAAAAATTTATTCTACGTTCACTTCAAAAATCGTATTACTTGCTGAATGTATTCTCCGCCTAACCAAATTAGAAATTTCCCAGTGGGAGGACCTCTGACCTTCCTACCATAGCTAGTGCCCTCTAAAATCTACAAACGTGTGTCGGGGCGCTCGGATGCCCAACTTGCATATAATACGTTATGATAATTTGCTAATAGGCTACCGTTTCGATTTTATTTTTTAGGTGGAATTGGTTTTACACGACACAGCTGGACAAGAAGATTTCGAAGTGTTACGTCCCTTGAGTTATCCCGATTCAGACGTTATTTTATTATGTTTCTCCGTCGACAATGCGGACAGTTTACAAAATGTCGCAGAACGTTGGGCACCGGAAATACGTCACTATTGTGGAAATGTGCCAATAATTTTAGTCGGTAATAAAATTGACCTTCGATGTGATGTGACCAATGGAATTTTCACAAACAAATTAAGATATATAAGTTATGAAGAAGGGAACAGTATAGCGCGTCGAATTGGGGCTGATGTTTATTGTGAGTGCTCCGCGAAGTACAATAGCTCAGTGACTGAGATATTCGAACAAGCATTACGATTAGCAATGTTGAATACACGTCGTAAGAAACGCTAACGTGACCAACGAGATATAGATAGCGTACATTATGCATTTAGATAAATGACATTTATCTTGGTATTGGTTCTTCTCGGACTAACTGTACCTATTCCACTGGATCGACTGGAGTAGGCCAGGCCAGTAGATTATCAAACTACCAATAAACTTGTGTTACGTCTATCAAAATGATGACCAAGGAAAAGTTTAAAGACTTTCACACACTTCGATATAATCATGTATACACATGCTAAAAAGACTAAAATTTCGACGGTGAGGTCCTAAGTAGATTGACCTCCGAAAGGGGTAAATAATGGCCTTCAATCAACAATTTTTCCAATACTGAAGCTGATTTCCCCACAATATAAGGAAGTTTTTTTCCGCCAGCAACGGCGTCATATCGGGGGCGCGGTAATTAGGTCACGGGAAATTCGGTCACCGGAACTTTGGTCACAGTAAAAAGGTCACACGGTAATTTGGTTACCGTAATAAGGTCACATGGTAATTTGGTCACAGTAATAAGGTCACACGGTATTTTGGTCACAGTAATAAGGTCACATGGTAATTTGGTCACAGTAAAAAAGTCACACGGTAATTTGGTCACAGTAAAAAGGTCACACGGTAATTTGGTCACAGTAAAAGGGTCACATGGTAATTTGGTCACAGTAATACGGTCACACGGTAATTTGGTCACAGTAATAAGGTCACACAGTGATCTGGTCAAGGCAAAACTAGTAAAATGAAATTACTGGTAACTGGTGTAGTGATATTTATTTCATAATACATAATATAGTGTTCTGCTTGCCCTCTGCCAGAGATGGATGGACCTTGTGGGGCCCTGAACGGTCGAACAGTATTTGGTATACCTGTCAATCTGCAGCTATATAGTTATTGCTGATACAACCCGCCACCGGTCTGCCTTTTAAGCTTGCAAGCCATACCACCGTTTAACTTTTGCCGACTCTCGCCATTCCAAATTACAGAATTCTCACTCACTGAATGCAGCCTGTGAAATCATCCAGTATTGACTTCAGCAATGAAGTTGATTTAATATGTATTTTATATATAATCTCCACTACTCATAAATTTCCGTGCCTGTACCAATAACGTGAGCGTTTCAAAGCAGATTCTTTTCGATTTTCCGGTTGGGGGTAGGGTGAGATGCTTCGCACGTATCTCACGTATCTGAAGGCGCCCATCTCACCCTACCCGAAAATTGAAAAACGCTCAGGTCATTGGGACAGCCGTGGAAATTACGAGCAACGGTGCTAATATATACGAGCGGACGCCCACAAGGCTATACGCCCACCAGCAGCAAATCTCATCGCGGATTGAAACGGCTTGGTAGCACCTTTCAAGATTGAAATGGCTTGGTAGGCAAATTGATCTAAAGACTAGTTCATTAAACAATCGAGACAATGCCACTATAAATTTACGTCACATAGGCCTAACCGTTTATTATTTCAGTCTCAAACGCCACTTGATCGATATGAGGACCAGAAATTCAATTCTGCGGAAATATGAATTCCACGTTCAGTGGTAAATTCGAAAACGTAGTCAAGATTGCAGCCTGTGTGATGAAAACGTGCTTTTCAATTTGCGAATATCAAGTCTCAAATGTCTTGTCGGACTGTGTCGGAGTGTCGCAGGATTCATGACACCGCATCTGGACAGAGCAATTAGTCCAAAGAACCCCCATGGAACGAAGAGACGAACACAATGACTTAAGGTCATTGGAGGTCAAGGTCAAAGTCACGAACCTACTTAAGTTGTGACATTGCCCGTCCTCCAACATTTATTGAATCTAGTTATCAACTACAAGCGGTTGATGTGAATAAGATGACCAACACCACTGAAAATGGGTAATTTTACTGTGACCAAATTACTATGTGACAGTATTACTGTGACCAAATTACCGTGTGACTTTTTTACTGTGACCAAATTACCATGTGACCTTTTTACTGTGACCAAAATACCATGTGACCTTTTTACTGTGACCAAATTACCGTGTGACCCTTTTACTGTGACCGAATTACCGTGTGACCTTATTACTGTGACCAAATTACCATGTGACCATATTACTGTGACCAAATTACCCTGTGACTTTTTTACTGTGACCAAATTACCGTGTGACCTTTTTACTGCGACCAAATTACCGTGTGACCTTTTTACTGCGACCAAATTACCGTGTGACCTTATTACTGTGACCAAATTACCGTGTGACCTTTTTACTGTGACCAAATTTCCGGTGACCGATTTACCTGTGACCTAATTACCTACATTCATATAATGAGTGGGGACTAAGTCCATGCACTTGTCTGCGATATCAGCTGTAGCTTGAATAGGATGTTAACTTGTCATCTAAAATAACTGAAATCAGTCCACATTCCTCTACAAATTGAACGAAAGTTATTTGAAAATTTAATGAAGGCCACGGTTCACCCATGTTCCTTAATCAACGTTACATGATATTGATCATTTAGTTAAATGTGAGTACCTGTAATCATTGTACCGTTACTTAAAGAACATGCGGTTCACCATTTTCATGTCCTCAGAAACTGGAATTATATTAGTAGAAGAGTAAACAGCTTCTTTACCATGATGATTAAATAAATTTCCGTGTTTCAATCTTATATTGACGACTCGCCTTTTCAAGGATTCGCCATAATGCTGAACGGTTATAGAATGGATAAAATTATCCGTACACGGTATTTCCTATTATAGACCTTTTCAACAAGATAATATTTTCGGGTGTCCCAATTTTTAGGCAGAGGATGAACTCGGATTTTTTTTTTAAAAAAGTGAAAAGTCATAGTTTCATGTATTTTTGAAGGAATTGTGCGATTTTCGTTCATTTCTAGTAGTTCCAAAGACTATTTACGTATGTTCAATGCACAAATCAACCCCCCCCCCCCTAAATGGCGCACTTGTCCCTTTAAACCTTATCTGATTACTACTATTCATTGATATAACAGTACCCCAGAGTATAAAAGCGGGGTTTACATGCTTCAACAGTTTTGAAAATTGTTGCTTTTATGATTCGTGCCTGACAAAATGATACATATTATTATCACGAATTAATAATGTATCTTTTTTGTTAAAGTCCTGATATGGGTTTCGAACATTTCAGTCACAATCTTCTTGACCCTTCTTAGTGAAACCGAGTAGGTCAACCGTTTAGAATATGAGAAAAACGAGAAGGTTTCTGTCCACAGGTATCTACATAGTGTTATTATCAATTAAGCTCGGCAAGTATTTAATTACAGTCAGAATGTTATATAATCCTCTAAATATACAGATATATTTTAACGAACATCAATTAAAAAATTAACTAACTGCTAAATCTGACTAGTACTCAGCCTTTAAACCGCAATGATAATCATGTGTGAGGTTATAGGTCGTTGGTCAAAGGTCATAATCTATAAGATAAACCTGAATATATAAGCCAGTGCTGGAGATAAATAAACCATTGTGTATAAGCTGTTCGTGCAGTGAAAAGCGATACACAATGTCTAATACAGTGTACGATGTTATAGTGGTCGGTGCAGGAATAGAGGGTTCATCATGCGCCTACCAGTTGGCCAAGAGAGGGCAGAGAACCCTACTACTAGAGCAGGTAGGCCTTATGTGATACATAGCCTTGTTATCTCATTTATTACGCAGTGAAGCAGTGTCGGAGCTCCCCTCCCCCTCGCAGCCCCAAAAGCATTTTTTCGGGCAAAAATCTCATACCCAGGTTAAAAATTCGGGTAATCTCGGATATTTCGCCCCTCCCCCCTCGGACGTAAACCTGGCTCCACCACTGCAGTGTAATTGTATGAAACGAAAGCTAAGAAATTCATGACTTCGCCATAAAGAGTTGGAAATTAACAAGCATATAGCCTATTTTAATGTGCATTATTATTTAGATGGTCTTGGGATGGCCCATCACAGCCACAGTAGTTTATTTTACGAATAATAAATTGCATCCAGTTTTTCTGGTTCTAACTGGATGACACCTGTCAAAAAATAACTGCTGCATGCTAGATAAGTGAATCGGACGTGTTTTCGATGGATGTAATGAGATATAAATAGAGCATAGGTCAGTGTGATCTTAGCCGCATGGGACTGGAAATAGGGAGGGGGATAT